TAGGATGTTTTTCATAGCAGGGTTGCCTTTGGCAAAATCCCTTAGCTTCTGTTTATCCTGGAATGTTTTGATTTCACCATCATATTTGATTGACAGCTTTGCTGGGTAGAGGATTCTTGGGTGGCAGTTTTTTTCTTTCAGGGTTTTATATACGTTTCCCCTTTGCCTTCTTGCCTGCATGGTTTCTGTTGAGAAATCCGAGCTTAATCTGATTTGCTTGCCTTTGTATGTTATATTTCTCTTTTCTCTAGCTGCTTTCAAGATCCTGTCATTATCTTTGATTTTGGAGAGCTTTATTATTATATATCTTGGTGACTGTCTTTTAGGGTCTATCCATCCTGGGGTTCATTGAGCTCCTTGAATGCTTATCTTTTCACTTTTCAGAATGTTAGGAAAATTTTCTTCCAGAAGCTCTTCAGCTATCTCCTCTGTGGACTTGTGTGATTGTTCCTGTTCCAGAATGCCAGTAATTCTTAAGTTATTCTTCTTCATGTTGTCCAACATGAATCTTAGGCCTTCTTCAGATTTTTTTTTTATCCTTTTTTGTGTTTGCTCTTCTATCTTAGTAGTGTTGAGAGATTTATCTTCTAGCTCACTAGTTCTGGCTTCTGTCTCTTCAGTTCTACTCCCCCTTTCAGTGTGTTGTCCATTTCTGATATTCTATTATTAATCATTTGGACCTCTTTCTGTAGGTTTTGAATTGTTTCCAATGCTCTATCTATCTTACTTGATTATTCCTGTAGCACTTTCCTGACTTCTTCCTTATTTTTCTCATCTCCATTATATAGTGTTTTGATACATTTGTAATCATTTTTCTGAATTCCTCCTCAGGCATTTCCAAAGCCTGCCCATCTTCCAGTATGGAGTGTAGGTCTCCTTCCAGCTCATTTGCCTCAGTCACTTTATCTCGTTTCTGGACATGTGCAGATATGGTCATCTGCTTCTGTTTTTTGGGTATATTCAGGGGTTGTCTGTGGCCTTAATACTTAGATGGGTGTGTATTTTGGTATTTTTTAGGCTTTCTGATTGCCTCCAGGTAGATGTGGTCAGGAAATGGGTTTCCTTTTTCACTCTTCTTCTTGAGAAAATTCAAGATGCCACTGTTGGTCATTTTGATGTAAATTAGGATTCAATTTCAGGCCTTTTTTCTGGTTATAAACAGTTCAGAGCCGGCTGTCTCTTTAAATTTCGAGGAGATCTGTGCACATGCATAGTAGAACCCTCTGAGGGTGGAACTGGGGTGTCCACTAGCTCAGGCACCCCTATAGTCACCAGAATGGAGGTGTGCAGACAGCAAGGGACCAAAAAACAGATACCAAAAGAAAAGAATGTCCACACCTTTATCTCCACGGTTCTGCCAGACATCCGTGGCTGCTCTGATTCTTCCCCCGCTTGGGCTCACCCAAGATGGCGGCTCCTGGAGCAGCTGAGCGTCTTGGATTAGAAAGCAATGGATTTCTTGCTTCTGCTACAAATTTCCCTAACTGTAAGCCTTCCAACCTTCTAAATATTCCTTTATATGTGGTTCGGAGTTCTGGGACCATCCCCTGAGCCTGCTTGGCCTGGTATTCTGTGTTGTTGCTGACGGAGCGCCTTACAAGATCCGCCATTTTGTTTGTTCTGAAACATTTAGATTTTGAGACTAAAGCAAAAAAGGCATTAATGTAGCTATTGTAAAAAAATTAAAATCTTGTTGAGCATCTTTAGCCTTATAATACTGTTTTTAGTATTTCCTTGTTTTTAAATGACTTTTTGGGATTTTCAGTGGTTTGGTGCTAGTTGTATAGAGTTTCTGAGGCTGTAAATCTTTATGGGAGCAGAAAGCCTCATGTTTCTTCCATGGAGTGCTTGCTTGGTAGATTTGAACTGCTGACCTTGAGATTAGCAGGCCAACTCAAAACCCATTACGCTACCAGGACCCCTTAGATATAGGATCTGTTGTTGCTCTTAAGTGCTGTCAAGTCGGTTCCGACCCATAGCGACCCTGTCCTGTATAGGGTTTCTGAGGAGCAGCTGGGGACCTGAACTGCTGACCTTGCAGTTCAAATGGGCTTTGCAGTCTGGCACATTAACCCACAGCGCCACACCAGAACTCCAGATATGGGATCTAGTTCCCCATAATGTTTCTGGTGTCTAGGGGTTCCTGATTGACTTTGATGAATACATGTTCTTTGTAAATCATTGTAGCAAAAAGAAGTATTAAAACCCAGGTTCCCGACACACAGCCACTTGGGGCCTAGTGACTTCTTTGGTTTGTTTATGGTTTTAAAATTTTCTCAAAAATAAAAAGGAAGGATCCTGTGGCTCTGACCCAAGTTCCCCATAGTAGTAGCCAAAGGAACTGACCAGCGGCCACCCTCTTTAGACAGGACAGGCCTCCCTAGTTTGCTACCATCTCCATTTTCTCACTTGCTCGCAGCCTGAGGTGTTTGTGTTCATCCCTCAGCCCTCACCTCTCCCCCAGGAGAGCACCTCTGTGGACACTGGTGTGCCCTCCCAACCCCCCTTCTCTTCAAAACGGAATCAAACCATGTGCATTGTCCTGCAACTTAAATCTCTCTCAACTCATGTTCTAGGAACTTTTCCCCATGTAGCATGTGGGGTGCCTCCGTATTTGTAACAATTACATGATGACTCTTGAGTCGGAACCAACTCGACAGCACTTATCAACAAGTGTAGTCAATACTATGGAGCACCATCAGTTCACCTCACGTCCCGTTTACAGGCACTTCTTGGTTTCTAGTTCTTCACTCTTAGAATCAGCCTTGTGTTTGTATCTGTGTACACACATGCAGCTGTTACATTGTGTTTTAAAATTGAACTAAAAATATACACATAGAATATATTCCAAGTCAACAACACTTTCTACGTGTATAATTCATTGACATTGATGGCATTCACTATGTTCTGTCACATTGTCACTCTCCTTTTCTGACTTTTTTCACCACCATTAGCATAACCTTAGTGCCCCCACATGGGAACTTGCCTTTCCTCCTCCTTTCTGCTCCTGGTAACCAGTAATAAGCTTTGCTTTCTATATGTTTGCCTATTTCATACAAGAGAGCTCATACAGTATGTCCTTTTGTGACTGATTTCACTCAGCATTCTGTTTTCAAAGCTCATCTATGTGGTAGCAGCATCAAGCCTTCATTTCTTTATTGCTGAGCGATATTCTGTTATATGTGTAAGCCACGTCTTGCTTATCCATCATTCACCTGTTGATCGACATGTAGGTTTCCGCGGTTTGACTGTTGCGATTGGTGCTTCAGTGAAAACTGGTGTACAGATTTCTGCTTGCATTCCAGCTTTCAAATCTTTGGATTGGGATTGTTGGGTTTTATGGTAATTCTGTGTCCAGCTTTCTGAGGACCTGCCTGTTTTTCATGTCCGCTGTATCAGTGTACATTGGATGAAGGTTCCGAGTTTTCCACACCTTCACAAACTCCTATTTTGGTTTTTGATTTTTTTTTTCATAGCATCGTAGTAGTAGTGTCTCATTGTGGTTTTGATTTGCAGCTTCCTACCGTGGCACTGTAGGCTAGGCACTCAACCTCAAGCTTGGTTTGAATTTCAAGGTCGGTGGTTCAAGCTCACCAGCCGCTCCTTGGAAACCCTATACAGGGTTGCTATGAGTCGGAACCTACTTGATGGCACTTACCACCACCACCAACAACAACAACTGGTTAATGAGAGGAACCTTGATGGTACTGTGATTAAGCGCTTGACTGTGCCCTGCAGGAGAAAGATGTGGCAGTGTGTCTCCGTAAAGATTACAGCCTTGAAAACTCTGCCCTATAGATTCTCAATGAGTTGGAATCAGCTTGATAGCTATGAGGTTTTTCTTGGTTTTCTTTATGGATAATGACATTGAACATCTTTTAGTGTTTGTTGGCCATTTGTATGTCTTGTTTGGTGAAATGCCTGTTCAAGTCCTTTTCCCATTTTTAGATTGGGTTGTTTTTGTGGTGTTAAATTGTTTTGGATATTAAATGCTTTATATTGTCTGATATATATCGTTCCCTGAATTTTCTTCCAGAGATATCTTTACTCTGTTGATAAAGTTGATAGTTTATCTCTTCCCTCTGTTGATAAAGTCCTTTGATGAACTAATTAAAAAAAAAAAACCTTTTTATTGTGAATCAAGTGAAGGTTTACAGAGCAGGTCATCAGTTTTATATTTAACAAATCATATACTTCATTAAAATGATTGCAGTTCCCTCCTTGTACCATCGATTTACAGTATTTACCTCAATCCCCTTTAACTTTTGCATTCCTCCTGTGTCTCCTGCCACCTTCGTCTTTCCTCCGCCAACCTACTTCTTGTTGTGTATTGCCTGTCTGGTCAGCCCTCTGAATAATTTTCCCTTCCTGCTTCCCTCCCAGTAGCCATCATAGAATGTTTGTTTTATCAAGAAAACCTTTTTGTGACTTTTTACAACAGTGGTCTCATTACAATCTTTGCCCTTTTGTGATTGACTGATTTTTATTTAAGATGCTGATGTAGACGTGTAGCATAATGTCCTCCGGGTTCATCCGTGTTGTGAAGTGTTTTGTAGAATCATCGTTACTCTTCAGCATTGGACAGTATTCGATTCAGTGTAATTATTGATAGGTGTGAACTGCTGGTGGCTGTATTTTGTTGTGTGTTTCATTGGGGTGCTGCTGCTTTCTTTGTTCCGCACAGTTTCCGGTGCTGAGTTCATTTTGTATGTGAGGTTTTCTTTTATTCTTCATTCCTGTTGTGTTAATGTTTGCTAAGTCTTTCTGATCTTTTTTTTTTTATTGTGATGTGAAGATGAATTAATGTTCTTTGAGGTTACCCTGCAATTTACTTACTAATTTTTTTTAGCAAAGAATTTAACTTTTACGGTGTGTAAATGTTTTTAGAAGCCCCCTCTTTCCTCTCCTGCCCCCTGCACCCTGGTGAAAGACTCAGAGCTGCTCTTGGTTTTCTGTGGCTTTTACCTCGGGTCTTGCTTGACTGTCTCTCTGCTCTTCAGGGTTGCTGAGGTTCTGGAAGGCAAAGGAGCCGGGAAGAAAGGCCGCTTTCAAGGCAAGGCTACTAAGATGAGTCGGCGGGCTGAGGCGCAAGTGCTTCTCCAGAACTCTATCAGCACGGAGAGAGCTGAGGTGTGAGGCCGCCTGAGGTCCTCCCGGTGTGCCTGCTGTTGTGACCGCAGAAGGAGTCTGATGGACAATAAAATATAGTTCCACTCAAATGACTGTGGTCCTCCCGTGTGTCTGACTAACTTGTACAGTATGCTCCAGTGTATTTGTGCAGTTAAGATCACTTTTGGAATAAACTGTTTTCTGATTTGGGCCTTATTAGGTACAATCTATATCAGTAAGCATTATGTTGATGAAATGTTCTCATTTATGTAAATCGGTATCTGTTACTCTGCCCTTAATGTGGCGCTATGATGACCCCGTGTGTATTAGAGTAGAAGTGTATGTCATAGGGTTTTCGGTGTCTGCCTTTCAGAAGTAGATTGCTGGTGAGGCCTCTTTTCTGAATCCCCTCTGAATGGACTCAGGCCTTCATCCTGTTAGTCAGCAGCTGACCATGTCAGTCACCTGAGCCACCAGATTGTCTTAAATATATTGATTTATCGAAGCTCAGCTGAAATATATCTTAATGTAGAAATATAGTTGCCTGAGGACAGTGAATAAGGAAGACCATAGAAGAGTTGATACATTTGAGTTACGGTGCTGGAGAAGAATATTGAAAATACTATGGACTGCCAGAAGAACAAACAGATCTGTGTTGGAAGAAGTACAACCAGAATGTACAATGGAGTATTAGGAAGGAGTTTAAGAGGAATGAAATTCTGATACATGGCTATGACATGGATGAACCTTAAAAAAAGGTTATGCTAAGCGAAATAAGACAGACACAAAAGGATAAATAATATATGATTCCACTTAAATGAGAGCTCTGTTGTTGTTAAGTGCCGTCGAGTCGGTTCTGACCCATAGTAACACTGTATAGGGTTTCTGAAGAGCAGCTGATGAGCTTGAACTGCCAATCTTGCAGTTCAAACTGGCCATCAAGTTGATTCTGACCCATAGCGACCCTGTATAGGGTTTCCAAGGAGCAGCTGGTGAGCTTGAACCACCGACCTTGCAGTTCAAATTAGGGGTGAGTTAATGTTTGACCAAATATAGCAGGCCGATTTTTAAATTGGTAGTTTTATATGACCTGCAAATTATCTTAGAAATTTTGGCAGGAGAAAGGTTCCCCGCTCCTGCTGTATAGGGTTTCCAAGGCTTTAAAAGAAAGCAAACCTCATCTTTCTCCCAGAGTGGCTGGTGGACTTGAACCGCAGACCTTGGGGTTTATAGACTAGTGATTATCGTATGGAGCTGGGGTGGGGAGGGTAATTTCTGGGGAGCTGATAATTTTATGTTTCTTAATGTGTTGTTAAGTGCCGTCGAGTCTGTGTGGAGTTTCTGAGGAGTGGCTGGTGGGTTTGAACTGCCAGTCTTGCGGTTCAGATTGACCTTGGCAGTCACGTGCATTATCCTGCAGTGCCACACCAGGACTCCATTTCTTGATGTAGGTGATGGTTTTATAGGTGATTGCTTTGTAGTTAACTCATCACAGTGTGAATTTTGGTGTCATGTTCATGTGTTACTGTTTCACAGTTTCAGAATTAATACACCTAAGAAAAGTCAGGCTTTGTCACTTACTGACCTTGGGAGAGGTATCGTGCCTTTTCAACCTTCAGTCTCTTTATCAGTAGAATGGCAGTGACAATAGCTCCACCGCACTGTGAGGCAACATGTAACTAAGCTCTCAAGAAAAACCCACCCTGGAATCTTCAGAACACATCTATTTTTTTCTTTTCCCAGGCTCCACTGCCTTTATTGGTGTCCTGTTGTGTCGCTGCAGGATAATGCACTGGACCCCAAGGTCGGTTTCAACCTTGTGGTTGGTGATTCAAATGCACACCAGCCGCTCCTCGGAAACCCTACACAGGGTTGCTATGAGTCAGAACCAACTCGACAGCACTTAACAACATCATTCCTTTATTGGAGTCCTGGTGTGATGCTGTAGGATAAGCACTGGACTACTAACCACAAGGTTGGCTGTTCAAACCCACCACCTGCTTCTCTGAAACCCTGTAAAGGGTTGCTATGAGTTGGAACTGACTCGACAGCACTTAATGACAACAGCAACATATCTTTTATCATTATGATTATTTAAATTGTGGGAAATGTACTGTTGTTGTTAAGTTCCATTGAGTCGGTTCTGACTCATAGCAACCCTGTATTGGGTTTCCAAGGATTCTGATGGGTTTGAACTGTCAACTTTGCAGTTTAAACTTAGGATAAGCATCACACCAGGACTCTGGTAAATATATACCTAATAAAATACTTAGCATGTCAACATTCTTCCCATGTCAATTTTATGACATTAATTACATTCATCATATTCAGTTGGACCCCCAAGTTTTTCCATCACTCGAATCAGAAACTCAGAGGCCCCTAAGCATTGCACTCTCCTTTTCCTTCTCTACCACCTGCCCCTGGAAGTCAGGAATACGCTGACCTGTTCTAGATATTTCATATAAGTGGCATCATAGAATATTTGCCCTTTTGTGACTAACTGACAGAACATTTAGTGTTTAATTACCTTATGTTCTGTTCACCCACCAGCTGGACTGAAGGAGAAAGACTGAAGGAGCTTTCTCCTCCTGCAAAGATCTACAACCTTTGAAACCCTCTACAGGGTCGCTGTGAGTTAGAACCGATTAGAAGGCACTTAACAACGCGTAGTGATTACGAAACGGGCTGCTAACCTCAGGGTCAGCAGTTCAAAACTACCAGCTGTAACTCGGGAGAAAGATGAGGCTTTCTGCTCCTGTAAAGATTTACAGCCTCGGGAACCCTGTGCAGGGTCGCGATGAGTCAGAACCGACTCCACGGCACATAACAACAACAACAACGCAAGATTCTTTTCCTTTTAACCTGCAAATTGACTCTTCCTTGATCAGCGTCATGGCATGTCAGGGCTGAAAGGGACATGCAGCCTACTTCATTCTGGCTTCCTGCTTTACACGTGGTGACACCAGGTCCCAGGTCTGTACTAGAGCTGCCCTGCTGGTAGAGACCCAGGCTAGACTGCATGCTCTGTGTTCTCTGAAGATAAAAAGTCACAGATGAATGGGATGATACCGTCTCGTAATGATTTTCTTCTTGCTTCTCATTGACAAAGAGAACAGGAAAACTGCTTCCAACACAGTCAATGATGAGCTCCAGAGAACCTGGCCACATACAGATCAGACAAAGCAAAGTCATTTTGACTTTGGGGTCAGGTACCTTTCAGATCACAAAGGCAGCTTTGTACCGGTTGACGCTGGTTCAGTCACGGCCAAGGCAGCCAAATGGAAAGAGACCTGAATTTGTAAAATGTGGGTGTACTAGAAGACTAATTGGAACTGAAAACAGCCCTGAAACAGACTCAGAGCGGCATAGTGAGCCCTTTGAGGAGCCTGATGTGGAAGACTGGACCCTTGTGAGGATGGGGAGAGTGGTACTGGTAGGCTGCCATTTTTGATTGGGGCAGCGATGTTGCCAACTCTGCCAGTTGAGAGATTTGGTTGCTATTCAACACACAAGCTACCCTTAGTTTCTAAGAGGGAGATTAAGTTTCTAGCAGGGTGTCAATCCTAATTTTTCCCGTTCAGGTATACCCACATTTTACAAATTTGGGTCCATTCTAGTTTTGCTTCACTGACCATGACTGAAACGGGCAGAATTAATGCAGTGCTTTCAACTGCCAGCGGGAAATCTCAGGTCGGAGTGACAGTTTCAATGGTTGACCCCTACTCAGAAACCTCCCCGCTCATTAATTTCATATGGTTTTCCAGGGACAATAAAGTTACTGTATAAAAGCGTATATTGAGAAAGAAAATGTGGACGGAGGGATCTGAACACAGCTTTGTAGACTGGACCTTTCTGAAATAACTCAGGAAAACACACAAATGCCTGAGCAAATGAACAGTAACTGGTTGTGTGAGGAAGGGGGAAAGAAAGCAGCAATGTTGGAACTGGTGACGCTATTCACGTCTGTCCCAAGGGCCCTTATCCAGTGCCCCAGAGGGAAGAACAGTTTGTGTTCAGGGAAAGGGGTGGACTGCCCTTTATGGCTTCACAAGGAAACAAAGTAGCTTTTTAATTATTTGGCTAATATTAAATCAGCACACGGAATTTTATGTATTAATACTTAAAATGGATTCTGTGTATTAATACAGAACATGGAAGTTGTACTTGATAGGGGGGCTTCAAGAGTTCATGGAGAAATACCATTATCTTTCAGTTTCTTTGTTTTCATGAACTTTTAGAAGCCCCCCTCATGTACAGATCCACACACATCTTCTGGAACCACTATCATCCATTCTTCCAGTATAGAAATAGTGAGAGGTGATTTCTTGGCTCCTCAGAAAGGTTTTGCTGCTTGTTACGCGCAGTTGAGTCAGTTCTGACTCCTAGTGATCCCATGCACAACAGAACGAAACACTGTCTGGTTCTGTGCCATCCTCACAATTATGACACTGAGCCCATTGCTGCTGTCATGGTGCCATTCCATCTCATTGGGGGTCTTCCCCTTTTTTGTTGACTCTCCATTTTATCAAGCATGATGTCCTCCAGGGAGTGGTCCCTCTTTATAAAATGTCTCAAGTCTGAGAGATGAAGTCTGGCCACCCTGGCTTCTAAGGAGCATTCTGGCTGTACTTCTTCCAACACAGATTGGTTTGTTCTTCTGGCTGTCCATGGTACTTTCAATATTCTCCAACACCATAACTCATATATATCAGTTCTTCTACTTAATTTCCCATAAATCACATGTGATGAGTCTCCTGTGTTGCTGTTTATATGCACATGTATATGTTGGAGCCCGTGTTACTATGAAAGACGAAAGACAGACACAGAGCATGAATTCGGGAAGGCATTGTAGGTGGTGCCAAAATGTCCTGTAGCCCCACCCCACTCATTAGTTCTGAGTGAAAACCAGTGAAGTTGGCTAGACTATGCTAGAAGGCCAGGTCTTTGGCTTAATAAGAACTTAAATAAACTCCAGAGCCCCGCTTGGTACTGATGGGAAAACAGATGGCTCGATACACCCTAATGAAAAACTCCCTTGCAGAAAGCTGCTGTGGCTCCCATTCCTTCCCCAGATTTGATCCAAGCTGTGACTAAGGTT